TCTAGTAGGCTCCACACAAGAAGCGAACAGCGTCTTACGGAGTCACTAAATTCACATTCATATTCATAAGTTCAATAATTTTTTTAACTGGGAGAAAGGTGTAACGGTGTAACTTACAAATCTGCCATCGGGCGTCAAAAATCTTTTATTTAACAAAGACTTTAGTGTGAATGTGGAAAAAACCTATTTACCATCCCATCCAATTTAGTTTTAGATAAATTTGTACATGTTCATAATGGTGGTGAATAAATTCATCATTATTATTAATAAAAAAATTTATTATTATTATTATTATTAAACAAGGACCTCAGGTGATATCAGAAAATTACAATCGCGAAGTTTTAGTGAAAAGTATGCTAGATATGAATAAGACAAGTTGACGTAATTAAATTTTCGAGTCTAGAGTCGAGAGATATTTTGACGAATCTAACGATACTAATTTATTTGCGATTGGATTACAAATAAGAACATAAATTAAATATTACTGACGAAAATACTTCATGATAATTACACGTATATTGAAAAAGTATTCATATTTTTATTTTATAGAGACAAGGAGAGAAAATCCCAAAAAGAAATCTGGAATAATGAATGTTAGAACCTGATGATACATCACTGTCCAATTGTGGGACACCCTGTATAAATTCTCATTTCCCTCAAGCACCCAACCAAACTCGAAGTCCGCTCACCCCTCAACCCGGAACCGCAAACACGTTAAATGAATCCGGAGGGCGGTGAAAGACGGCCGACGATAATCCGGGAGCAAGAATCGGTCCCCACAGTATAATAACCCTGACGGAAGAGGCGTCGCGACGGCACTTGTTGCGGCGTCTATTGTCGAAGCGACTGACGACTACGGATGGCGGCATTCCTCCGGACTGTTCCGGGATGAAGCGCGCGTGCTCGAATACGAACGGCGAATAATCGTCTGAATTCAGACCTCAATAAACTTAGCAGAACCATTTCAACGTTTCAGACTTGCAATCGAGCAAGAATTTGCGAGAATATTTCCCTCATATACAGGGTGTTTAAAAAAAAACTGACCCCCTTACTAGGGTAGGTAGAACACTGCAAAATAAGTTGGGCTTACTCAGTGAAAAAATTTCGTAACGGCATCCGTTATCAAGATACAAGGTGTTGAAAAAATGATTTTTTTACACATTTTTCAAGATTATGTCGAAACTACTGGCAACATTGTGATGAAATTTTGTATGGATGTATCTTGGAATCCGACACATCGCATGCATTTGATTTTATATCTAACTCTCATAGAGGGCGCTAGTTACACGGTTTGTACCGAGTAGTTTTGAACATAACTTTTTTGAGGTTAGATTCTTCAATCCAAATTTGATGTGAACTTGAACATCATTTAATGCCACACCAAAAAGGTACTCTTGGTAAAACTCGATACTGTGTTCCGTTCTCGGAATATTTCGATTTGAAAATGATGAAGTGATAACTGTTGCTGGTATAAAGCTATGTATTAGAGTGAATATTATGAAAAATTATCACCTATTCGTTGAAAACCGAAAACAACAATACATTTCTGATGCTAAACTTATTGATTTAACAATGAATCACTAGAAACATCGAAACAGATTTGACTAAGAACATGGATTACACAGTTTTGTTGTATCTTGAGCAGAAAGTCTATGCTACATAGGTAAATTCACGTCAAGAGTTGTAAGACATAATTGAACATCACTAAAATGACCTAACCGCTGATCCTCAACTGTTTAGAAAAATAAGAAAAGAATGTAGAATCGTGTATTCGTCGAAACGTAGGAAATTCGGAACACTTACTCTATCTGATTCAATATTTCATGTTTCTAGTCAAATATCTCTTGATTTTCTACTTATGATTCTTTGTTCCATCAATAACTTCAGCACTATAATAATTTTATTGTTTTTGCATCTGAATAAATACGTAATTGAACTCAATAAAATTAATTTTATACCAGCATCATAACTACTCCATTATTTTCAGATCGAAATATTCCGAGAACGGAAAATATTATCGAGTTTCATAAAAAGTACATTTTTGGTGTAAAATTGAATGACGTTCAAGTTCATATCATATTTGGATTGAAAAATCTAACCTCAAAAAAGTTATGTTCAAAAATACTCGGTACGAACCGTGTAACCAGCGCCCTCTATGAGAGTCAGATATAAAAACAAATTCATGCGATGTGTCAGATTTCAAGAAACATCCATACAAAATTTCATCACAATGTTGCCAGTAGTTTCGACATAATCGTGAAAAATGTGTAAAAAATCATTTTTTCAACACCATGTATCATGAAAACGGAGGCCGTTACGACATTTTTCCATTGAGCAATCCCAACTTATTTTGCAGTGTTCTACCTACCCTAGCAAGGGGGTCAGGTTTTTTTGAAACACCCTGTATATAAATGTCCCATAAGAGCAATGCAATTATCGAGTGTGGACACGCTTATCACCACTGACATTTCCGAATCGTCATCATCAGGCGGGGCGTGGGAGAATCTTGCTGAATTTCCGAAGTTTCAACCAAATTGACAGGCATCATGACAGATTCATTTGAGTTCACATTTTCATTTTCACAATTTCTTGCTTAAATGGGAACGGTGCGTCATATTTTCGACTTTCAATTTTGAATTCATGAACTACATGAAGCCCTAACCCAAGAGAATCCTGCGATAATAGTGTAATAATATTCCCCTCAAAGGCAGAAAGGCAGGAGTACAACGATCATCCTGTAACACGCATCCCAGATTATTCTCCAACATCCCAATGATTCTTACATACCAGCCTATTTCCGAACACTCAATATATGTCGCGGTGACAAATAACGTGACAGAAGAATCGATGGAACAATTATTAGAAAGAGGTATTGTTCTAAGAAGCTTCGAGAACAAAAAGAAGGGTACGGAAGATCATTCGAGAACGTTGGAGAAGCAAAGCCCACCAAGGGATCTCATATTGTTATCATTATTATTGTTATAAGGACGGCCAGACTGTCAGCTCGGCCGTCAGTCAGTCAAGCAGCGAGTGTCAGAGAGACAGTCATATACCGCGTGATATAAATCGTGTTACATAAATAGTAGTTATTATAAGTTCAATATAAATTATTGTTCCTTTAGTTAAATAAATCAGTTCGATAATAAATATTGTCGTGTCGAATAACGTAACAGTAGTTTAGTTACTCTCTTTTGCGTCCTGTCTCTAGCTATTATTGAATTCGATTATCCTCAACGGGACACTTCAGGCGAGTCTTCAGGTCCCGAAAGAAGGAAAATAATACCTTATTGAAAGTCTAGTTCAACTACATAACATTCAAAACGCATTTTGAAATTTTTCCAAGAATTTTCCGTCATTCACGCCATCTATCGTCGAATATAAGAATCCCACGTTCCGAACTCGCATTCAATTGTTCATATGGAGAGGTGTCGAGAGCTAGTCTGAGTGGGCACATGAACAAAATTTCAAATAAACCATACTTCTTGTTGATTTTAGGAAATAATAGTTATTTAACCAACTAGTGTATTAATGAGGGCGATTAATGATCGAGATATTTTAACGTGCGAGCGAAGCGAGTGCGTTAATGTTCGAGATCATTAATCTCCTTTTAATATACAAGTTGGTTACAAAATTTTTCCGTCGACTATATTTCTCATTTCTCCTGCAATGAAGAAAACTTGGTTCGCGAATTCATCATCCATCCGGAAACTGCTAAGAATCACCCAGTAGCCTTGTTACTGACATTAGTGTCATTTTACATTTGTCGAAATGATCAACATAGGAAATAAATTCCTTGTGTTAGCAAACAGGAATTAAAATCGTGTCAGAAACTTGGAAAGGCGAGCCCGTTAACGGAAAATCGTCGATGAAATCCATATTTTCGATTTAAATGCAGATTCCGCTAGTTATAGCATAAACAATGAATGCACGCGGTGTATGTTTGGTTGCCTATAAAACAATCGTGCATTAATAGACAAAAATAGGGGTCATTAATGAACGATTTCATATACATTAAACTTAGTCGTTAATACGAGGTCGACGGAAAATGTGTTATTGAAGTAAAACGCGGTTATATATAAATAGTCCAGTGATGGAAAAAGAAGTACAAGTAGTTGTGAATGAATATCCAAGATGCGACCCAAGATGGGTGGCAAAAGAAGGTGAAATATCGAACTTTTTCGTAAAATATCTGGATAAATAGCGGTTTGTTCACATTTTCATTGTGAAATTCGTAGATAAGTATAAAACAAATCGAAAAAAAAACATCGCATGATAAGTGTACTAGCTTTTACCCAAATCTTATAATGAAAATATTAAGCCACTATTTATCGAAGTTTACATCACGAAAATACGAAATTCCACCTACCTTTTCCAAAATTCTCACGACTGTAGTAATCTGCCGACTGTGCCCGCCTATCGTGATTCTAGTCACCGTAGATCATATAAAACTTATAAAAGATAAAAAAATAATGAGTGATGAATAGAAATTACCAGAAATGATTCCATCCATTTGTATGAGAGCCTGTTCCAGTAATTTACTTGCTTCCGTTTGGGGAGACATTCCCGGTACATTATCATTCAATTTTTCGGCTTTTCCCATTGTCTTTCAAACAGTTCCAGTACTTCTCAGATCACTAAAAACTATCACGGCATTTGATTTTATTCGTGCCCCCCAAAAGTAATGAAGTCAAAAAAGTTAATGGATTGTGAAAGAAAGTTCAGAGAAGCGGATGCACAAATGAAATTTCGAACCTATAAAATTATCAAGATTGGGGCACCTGTTTTTATTTATTTTTTTGACACAATGGTAAACAACAAATTTAGAAACTCCTTTTTCTGTCAGTTTTCAACTCTCAACTATACTTCTTCTTCTTTTCTTTGGCAGACTGACGATAGGTTGATGTTCAAAATTACATAAGCAAATGAATACGCAACCATTTAGCGGTGAATAGAAAGACGGAAGAGGAATCCTATAGCTCAAGCTATAAAAGAAAGAAGTGGAAAAAAGGGAAGTGACAAAGTGAGGTTATAACTTTCACTTTGAAAGTTCTAAATTCACAAAATTGAAATTTAAATAAATGTTTCATCATGGACAAAAAGAAAGAACCCTTGAAAAGTATGTAGATATCAAATTATTCAGAAATCTTTAAAAAATTATGAACATTAAACATTTGCAGAAGAGAAGGTTGCAGAAGATGGATTGACAAAGAAGGAACGTAGGGCATTGAAAGTACAAGTTAAAAAAACGGAGATACAGAATGTAATACAAGTTAATGAAACAATTGTAGAAAACAAACCTAACCCTGAAAAAGAGAAACAAAAACAGAATGTATCACATAAAACTAATGATACTCCCAATGACCCCCCAGTCTCTGGAAAACTACTATCAGATAAAGAACTGAGGAAATTGGAGTGGGAAAAAAAACTCACAGATCAAAAAACAAAGGAACTAGAAAGTGTCAAAGCTTTGAGCAAAGCAGAATTGAAGGCAAAACGTAGAGAGCAGCAAGAGAGTCAAAGATCAGCTAAAACTTCATCTAAAGTTGAACCAACTCCAACAAAAACACCTTCAGTTAATATCAAGCAGTCAAAAACTGAACCAAAAAAATCACCTGTTCAAAAACAAATTATTAGAAAAACTATTCCCATTCAGAGGGTACAACTTGTGCAACATTTATACATTGATAATTCCTCAGAATCCAATGATAAAAATTCAATTCTCCACAATAAAGTTCATCCAGCCTTTGTCAGGCTAGGTACACAATATTCAAACAAAAATGTTCTAGGGTCCAATGCAAGATGTTTAGCTCTTCTAGCAGCTCTCAAGCAATTAGTTGACAATCTCCAAACTCCTCCCAAGCAAGAGTTCTGTAGATATCTAGAAACTGTATTGAAATCATGTACAAACTACTTGCAGAACTGCCGCCCACTTGCTGTGTCCATGATAAATGCTCTCAGAAATTTCAACTTACAATTAACTCAGATTGACACAAACCTGAATGATAATGAGAAGAGAATCAAGTTGCAGGATGTTATAGACATTTATATAAATGATGATATTAGAAAAGCTGGTGAAGCAATCAGTATGAGAGTCAGAGAAAAAATAAGTGATGGAGATGTAATTTTAACTTATGGGTGGTAAGCAGAGCAATTCCAAAAGTTTGATATTCAGCAGCACAGATCATTTGGAACCATTTGTTCATACAAATTATTAATAATAATGATTTCTAGCTCTTCATTGATAAGAAAAATACTCCTTGAAGCCCACAAGGATGAAAAAAAATTTGAAGTAATCATAGTGGATAGCAGACCTTTACTGGAAGGCAAAGAAATGTTGAGAAGATTAGTTGTTGCTGGTATAAAATGCTCTTATGTCCTCATCAATGCTCTCAGCTATGTCATGAACAGCGTAACAAAGGTCATTTTGGGGGCACATGCCTTACTAACCAATGGGTATGTCATGTCCAGAATAGGCACTGCCCAAGTGGCTCTGCTTGCCAGGGCCTACAACAAACCAGTCCTGGTTTGTTGTGAGACATATAAATTCAGTGAAAGGGTTCAAACAGACTCATTTGTTTATAATGAAATTGGTAAGATTTTCAAGACCTAATACTCTATAATTCTCTGAAGGGGTAAACCTTAATGGCATAATGGTTTACAAAAAATTTCTTTGGGTTACCTGGGATTCTCATCCAACTTCTTGGAATTTATATGAAGATTTTTGTTTTTATTTATATTTGAATTTTCTTGTGAAGTTCTTCAGAATACCTTCAAATTTTTTAATGCCTCATAATCATTTTAAGTGCCTTAAAATTATATTACATCCCTTGGATTCATTGAAATTCCTTTGCTTTTTTTTTTCAGAATATCTTGATTTCTTCAAGATCCCTGGAAGTTTATTGAGATTTCTAAAAATTATTTGGAAATAGTAGATGATTTTTCACCAAAAAAATAAACAAAAAATTTACCTCAAGCTTGAAATCAAAAATGAACTCTTAAAACAAACTGACCAGATAAAATATCTTGGTATTTGGTTTGATGACAGGTTGAAGTGGGACAAACATATTGATGTTTTGACAAAAAGAATATATCCAATTATTGGTGCATTGAGAAGATGTCCCAAACTTGATATTAAAATTGCAAACATGATTCTCTACTCTCATATACTGAGTCGTATCAACTATTTAATAAATGTTTGGGGATCTTGTTCAAAAAATAATTTCAATAAAATAACATTATATAGAAAAACGTTAAAAGTATTGTATCGTCTCCCATAATGGGGGAGACCACTGATTTTTTGAAACGACATCATCGTGAACTCTAATACTGAAAAACTACCAGTGAATTAATTTTGAATTTTTTTATTCATGTTAAGACGATGAAAAAAATAAATTAGAATATGTCCATTTCAAAACACACAATTCCTGCGCCATTTGAAATTTTGTCAATTCATTGGTGTGACTGGTGCGACGTCTTAGTCCCAACACGCCTATTGTCCTTGAACTCACCAATCACACTGCAACACTGCAGAATGACGAGGAATCAGAGAGATAGCTACAGCTCGGGATTGATACGTCACGGCTCCACCATCATATTTGGCTGTTTGAAATATCGAATGAAATATGCTGATTTCAAAACGATATAGATTCGATTCCCTTCAACTTCAACTCATAATATTGATTGTAGATCAAACGTGAATCATGATTCGTCGAATGAAAGAGGTTTGCACGGATTTCTCCCCTCAGTGGTCTTTCCCATTATAACTTGTTTCATCTTGACGCCGCTAGCTGCATAATTGGACAAAAAAGATCCACTCATTCAGCCTTAACTGAATTCAATAAACTACCTGACAATATAAAAAATTGCAGAAATATAGGTACATTCAAAAATGAAGTGAAAAAACTGATTATTTCCGAGAGAACTGGATAATATTAATTCATGCCATTTTTTTTTTACACATATTCGTTGTCAATTTACAGTTGATATATTTTGAATAATCATATGTTTACCTATAGGTATATAATTATGTACTTCCTTATAACAGAGCCTATTCTGTCTGGAAGTTATTTGTTGAATAATTAAATAAATCATCGAAAAATAAATAATATTTGACCATTGGAATTCATTGAGGTTACTTGAGATTCTGATCTTTTCTCAGGTGATGCAGATTTATTGAGGACCACTCATACTTCTGAAACTGAGAGCCCACTAAGTAAAACTAAAGATATGAACAAGTTGATGCCACTGAATCTCTTGTATGATGTCACTCCTCCAGATTTGGTGACTGCTGTAGTAACTGAAATTGCAATTTTACCTTGTACTAGTGTCCCTGTGGTTCTGAGAATCCATGCTGATGAGTCTACCTAATTAAAAGTCTTCCATCAACTGGTTACATATTGTTTGATTCTGTGTCTTCATTTAATAGCATATACATTTTCAAGCAGACAAAATATCATCAATACATTTTAGAAAATTAGCTATTGATTAAAGATATCAACAGGTCACTTATATATCTTGTACATGTTTATTACTCAGTGTAATGTATAATTAGCATATTTTAATCCACAAAGATTCATGAGGAATGGATTGTTTGAAGGTAATGAGGACTATATAATAATATACAGTGTTTGTTTTCAGATTTTTGTTGTAATAAATATATATTATTATTCATATTTGTGGATATCATTACAATAAAGGTAGATAGCTGAAAAATGATTGAAATAGTTCAAAACCCTTTGAAACATTATCACTATGGTTACTCAACTTCTTCAATGCTGCAAAATACAAAACTGAAGTACATTTTTACTAATGAAAATACACTTTCCTCATCTAATCTATCTGCTATCTTGTGTTGAATCTGTGACTTTAGTTTATCACTTAATTTTCTGTGACAGAATTGTAAATTAAGTTATCAATAATTTTCAGAATTAATTTAACAAAGAATTAATTAGAGGAATATTTCTCTGTTGAGTATTTGGGAAGCTGGGGATGGCAAGGTGAGGTAAAAAAATAGAAAACTCTATGAATACTTGAGGTATTTTTCCTCCCAGATGGTCTGTGCAAACTGGAACCAATTTTAAAAATAGTAAAAACAGGAACCTTCATGTTAACTAGGGTGAACAGTTCAAAGCAATATTCAGAAAGTCCTCAAATCCCAGGGTAATTTCACCCTTCAATTCTGAATCCCTTGTTCTGAATGCCTCTGTGAATCGCTGTATTTGAATACAAGTAGAAATGAATTGATCAACAGATATCATTCTATGGTATTTCAAATCATTCTTGTCAATCAAAAATTTTATGAATTCTGGGGAAAACCTGAAACCCATCTGTTGAAATGCCTGTGCCAGCTCCACTTCTTCTATACTTCCTGACTGGTCTCTATCATAGTTTTTGAATACTGCTAGCCACTGATTTATGTAGTTATAGAGTAACTGAAACTCATTTATGCCAATTGAACCTGTTTTATCAACATCAAACATGGAAATCATCAGTTTGCAACATACTGGAGAAAATTTCTCGCCCTGTCCGTTTACCAAAGCAGACTGAAGTTCTGCCCAGGAAATTTGTCCAGAATTATCCTTATCCACAGCTTGAAACCAAGACTGCACATCAGGGCTCACAGTTGTTGGTTGAGCAGGATTACTCCCTGGGTATCCTGCATAGCCCTGATTCTGAAAATTATTTGTTCCAAGAATGATTCTTGAAATACAAATGTAATATCCAAAAACTTACTGCATACATAGTTGAAACAGAAAATGTTCTTGTTGTTTTCAGACAGCAATGATAGATGATTATAGACAAAACACTTGAACTCTGTATAATGTTTCTTTGTGAGTTTACCTTGGATTATTTTTCAGTTATTTTATTCATTCGCCTAGGATAAAGGGAACTCTACACTTCTACAATTTCACTAAATTCGAACAAAATTTTAAATAAATAAAAGTGACATCATACATCTGTCAGGTTGAAACATTAACATAACCATAGTTTTCTTCTTCTTTTCTGTTTTATTTTGTCTACGGTCCACTTCGCCTTTGGATCAAGTTCACTTTAGTTCAAATGACCGATAGGTATTACCATGGTATTACTTACAAATCCGTTCAGGCAATTCTGAATATTTTTGTGGTTTATTGGATTGTTCAGAATCAGTCTTTTCAACCAGTAATATTAAACTAATAGTTATTGATATATGTATAATAAACAAAATATTTTCATAGTTTTTATAAAAGACCTGCATAGTATAAAACATTCCAGAATAGTTTTTCCTAATGAATATCTGTGGAAATTTAGTTACTTACTATGTAATTATATGATATAATCACTACGATATAATAATCCCTCAAGCATCCTCAACCTGCTTATTGCCTAATGTCGAAAGATTCTGAAAAAATACATTAGAATAAATCAAATGTATTCATTGAAATTATTTGCCATTATTGATACCCTTTATAAAAGCAGAAGCATACTTAAAATATCTATGTTCAACTGAAAACAGAGAATTTTCAACAAATTTTTATAGGATCTGAGATCAATGATCCCGAGAGGAAAGTTTAAAGCATAATTTCAAGTAGATAGTAGATACCATCTATTGCACAACTGCCTAATGGAAGATCCTGAATTTTTCCACGGAATCAGCCTCTTGGATCAGCTTCTGATGAACATCACTAAGGGCCTGAATTGAAATAAAAATTGGTTGTCAGCCAAAAACAAATTTAAAACAGCAAAATGATTTTAATCTTGCAAATAAAGCAGCAGACGACTATCAATCAGAGATCCAATCATTCATATACAGAATAGAATGTTGAGGATTGTTTTGCTGGCTAATCTTACCTTGAAATATTTCACAGTCTTGACTCTCAATTCCAAGGTGGCATCTTCATCACAAATCATCAAGGTATGTGGATGTTGCTGGAAGGCGGAGACTGTCCACATGTGATTTACCCCTTCTTCTACTGCTTTGTATAATGCAAAGGACTTATGTGTTCCGGTAATTAGAATCATAACCTGTTGGAACAATATGATATATTACTTATAAAATGAGCATATTTAAATTGGGAATGATTTTTTTTCATTTTTATGGAATGGTAGGTAGAGTAGGCTAGGCTGTAACCAGATTTCTAAAATTTTATAAAATATTATTGTGTCTTATACATTTCATTATTAGAAAATGCAAAGTGAACAGTACAATAGATTGGTGTGAATATCAACAATTTCAATTGGTTTGCTTCATGATGATGATGAATACATTCTAGATAATATTCATGATCATAGGTAAGTATGTAGCATCCATTGTCAATCTGAATGAAAACATGGATTCCTCAAATAATGATGACTGATAAGGATCTTGACAGGTTCATGCAAGAAGTGATTAGGTTTATTTGTTCTTTTCTTATGATAAGATGAAGTGCTTGATATTCTGATTAATACAATAATTATTAAAATTATACTTTTTCTACATTAAATCCATAGGATACATTATGAGTGAACTTATAGTTATTGTATATAGAGATCCAGAATATTTTGATAGAATATTTTGATTTGAAAGGTAGGGTAAGATAGAGTTTGTTAGATTGTTAGATAAAGAGAAAGGTCTATTTGAGTCTTTCTTGATTTTTTTCATTCATCAGATGGTATCTGTTCCTTTGTGTTGCTGTACTTGCTAAAGTTGATTTTGTTCCCATAGTTGTCTCTGTTCATGGCATGATGTAAACAGAGAGTCATAGAAAAAAATCAAGTTCAGCATGTAGAGCAGGCACAAAGGCACAGGCATAATATGTTTGTCTGAAACATTATATTATTATCTTACCTCTTTAGCATCCATCACTGTACCAACTCCTACAGTAAGGGCTTGTTTAGGAACTAAATTGATATCATTTCCAAAGAAACGAGCATTGGCTTCTAAGGTATCCTGAGCTAATGTTTTCACTCTAGTTCGAGAAACCAATGATGATCCTGGTTCATTGAATGCTATGTGACCATCTGGGCCAATGCCTACAGAATACAAGAATTATGCAATCATCATGAGAGAGAAAATGCCACTGACCTCCAATAAACAATTCTACCCCTCCTGCCTCTTTGATTTTTTCTTCATAAGCATTACATTCAACTGCTAAGTCCTGAGCATTACCATCAAGTATATGAGCATTCTTTGGATCAATATCTATGTGTTTGAAAAAATTGTTCCACATATAATAATGATAACTTTCTGGATGGTCTCTAGGCAAACTCACATATTCATCCATGTTGAATGTTTTAACATATTTAAAAGACACTTTTCCTGCCTTGTGATATTCTATCAGTTTCTTGTACATGCCAAATGGGGTGCTGCCTGAAATTATGCATTTTACAACATTATTTTAAAAGATGTCATGTTGACTATTATAACATACCTGTTGGTAACCCCAATACAAAGTATTTTTCTGGTCCAGCATTGTAGTCATTTATTCTCTTCATTACATATTTTGCTGCCCATTCTGCTACTGACTCAGCAGTCTCTAGGATTACTAGACGCATTTCAAATGAGCAAAATACAAGGAAAAGCTGAAAACTTGAATGTGACTGGTATTATCAGTATTATCTAAATATACAGATAAAGAAAAGGTTGACTAATTATGGCAGATCACAAACAGCAAACCAGTTTTCATTCTCTATCGGTATTCTTCAATTCTTTTTTATCAGCTTTATTTATTTTTATGTTTCAAGTTTGTTGACCTAAACAAAGAGGAAATTTTATCAATATTGCGTTGTATACCTATTTGTGTAAGATAACAGATCCTTGATTCGATATTTTCAATCAGAATCAAATAATAATTATATGAGTAACAAGATGGAAAAAATGTATAGAACCCATATAATTTACAATTAAAAATATTGATATCTACAAAAGTTTGAAATTATTTAGTCAAAATGTCAAAACAACATATTGTGAAAAGAGAAAATCTTGATACACAGTGACTATATGACCAATTTCCGGATAAATATCATATAAAATATAAATATGTACACTCCTGATCAAAATTTGAGCAATGACGGCTAAATATCTAGACTGTCTGACGGGTTATACCATCTAGATATTCAGCTGTCATTATAATGACTTCTCATTCTAATGACTTTTTCCATCATTATTCCGATTAAATAAGTATGAGATACAGGTCAATCTTGAGAATGTATACTTTCTGAACACCCTAATATATCTATGAAGTTCCTCTGCGAAAATGTCAAATTAAAATCCCATAGACAATTTTACGCAGAATCCAGTGGCGTACTCATTTTTTTTTCGGTTGTATGGTCTTGGAGATACGAATCAAAACTTATGATGTTTAAAACGGAACAACCTTCATTTCATTTGTAATGAATTCCTTTTTTTTTTTCCTTTCATAATATATACTTAAAACATTGAATTTTGATAGTGATGGGCTATGGATTTTTCATGTATAAAAGTTCCAATTGAAGGAATATTTCTATTGATTTTTCCATGAAGAGGACAAAAACAATACCAACGATTATCAATAAATTACACACAACTCATGTATCTGATATAGCAACGAATAAATGAATAAAAAGTTGATGAAGTAGAATAAACACCTGATTGAATATTCACTAAAACATTTGAATTACTCTCTCAATACGCCTCAATGCATTCGAAATCATCGAAGGATGTCTTATTTGTAGTTCCTGAAAAACCCCTCTGTATCTCCGCTATATACTTTTTTTTTTTTTTTTATCGATTGGAGCGCACGAAAGGGAATCCCTATAATGTTCAAAGAACATCGTGCGTTCCTAGGGAGGATAGGGACAGGAGATAGGTATTGGAATTTTTTTTGAATTTTTGGAGATTATATGTTATTGGGAATACTTCCACAGGCAATGATAGAGATCGGACAAATATTTATACCTACATACTTCGGACATTTTTTGTACCTTGAAACAGGAACTAAGGGATTCAATGAGCTTATAAAATACAGGGTGCTCCACATAAAAAAAAACATAAGTTCGAGTCGTATCTCCAAAGCCATACCTCGAAAAAAAATCGAATGCGCCACTGGATCCGACGTAAGATTTCTCTATGGAAATAGATTTTGATTTGAGATTTTTGATGGGAAACATCGTAGATATATAGAGGGGGTTCAAAATCGCCCCGTATATCATAAACGAAAACAGGTATATCGTTTTTGTAAACTCTGACAGGGAATTTTCAAGGGTCACAAACAAACATCAGGAATAAAATAATTCAAATTTTCCTCACACTTTCACTGCAGTTTGAAAAAAAAATATAAATTTTATAAAAAAACGAAAATTTTGCAAAAAATTAAATTACTTGGAAATTATTACTTCGCAACCCATACATTTTACGAATAAAAGTGAGACTCACATTTTCAATGCTTCAGCTCAATGAAAATCAACATAATATTTTATTTCCAGGCCTGGATTTAGTAATTAAATTTTTTTGTGGAGGATAATAATCACCCTGTAGATCTTTTTCGAATCAGTGGATGAGGAAAATATTGATAGGCATCGCTACAAATAATTTTATCGTACTAGAATAATTATTGTGAGTTAACCTTCATTCTCTGGTTCGACTATTTTGAATCATTTGAATCGATGACCATTAACATCTGAACAGATACCCCATCCACTGATTTGAAAAAGTTATCTACAGGGTGATTATAATTAACCCTCCACAAAAAATCAAATTACGAAATCTAGGCCTGGACATATGAAAGAACATGTTGATTTCCATTAGGTTTGAAGCATTGAAAATGTGAGTGTTACTTACATTTTGTGAAATTTATGCGTTGAGAAGAAATTATTTTCGAATGAATGCAATTTATTGTCAAACTTTCGTTTTCGCTTATAATTTATAGTTTTTTGAAAAATTCTGTGAAAGTGTGAGGAGGATTTTGAATATTTTATTCTGAATGCTTGTTTGTGTGCTTTGAAAATTCCCTGTCACAGTTTACAAAAATCATATACACGATGAACTTTTTGATAAGAAACCTAACTATCAAAATTTTTCGAAAACAGACCTGGATTTTCTCACTTCTGGAAAAAAATCAGATGAATGGAAGCAGCTGTTGAAAAGTTATGCCCAAAATATGTTTTTACCCAATCACATAATTCACCCTATATATTGGTAAAGAGAGGAAGAAGACACTTTCTGATGGTCATTAGGTATTTCTCTCTATTCATCGTGGTAGGAGTATATTTAGTTCCTCATGACTCACCCTGTATATGCGCTGTGCGCCTCTGACCTCAGCGCAACCGCGAAAAATCGATGTTCCCGAATTTCCTCAAACCCATGCACCACGTGACCTGTGCTTGTACGTAAACACCTATCCGTCATCCCGCGAACAAAAGCATACCTTCCGCGAGACAAACCCCACACAAGACAAAATACAAACTTCCCCCCACATTCTTCGAGCAGCTTCAGGACGCCGTGCAAGGTGTTCCCGGGGGGCGAGCAGGGGTCGGGCCTCAGCGTGTGGGCGCTGCCCCAGGCCGTCTGCTGCAACATGGTGGCCGACATGGCCGACGCCGACCATCCCGCAGCGGCAGCCAATCGGGAGAAGGACGGCAACGCCGCGGACATCGCCGAGCAGGCCAATCGGACCATCTTCGATTTGGTGAAGACGGGGTGAGATTCGAAGAACTATATCGTTACTTTTTCTGAATTTAGAATTTTTCATCTGAGTTCTCACCTCTGAATTAGTTTTTTCTTATATTCAGACTCCCTGTATTCACGGTTTTTTTTCAATATTTTCTCTGATTTTATATTTTTTTCTCTGAAGTCAGTTCATTTTCTCTGAATTCACACTTTTCGTACAAACTTTCTTCTCTGAATACGGGATTTTTTCCTAAATTCAGACTCTCATCTGAATCCATTTTTTTTTTTTTCGGAATTCAGACTTTTTTCTTCTAGGCGACTTCTTTCTCTGAATTCAGACCTTTTTTCTCTGGATTCAGACTTCCTTCTCTGAACTCAAACTTTTTATTCTGAAATCACACCTTTTTCTCCATATTCAGACTCTTATTTCCGTTTAATTCAGACTTATTTCTCTGAATCCATACTATTGTCTTTAATGTCGAACTTTTTTTCTCTGTAGTCGGAGTTTTTTCCGAATTCAAGATCGTATCACACAATTCATAAGATTCGAATTTCTCAGAGTAATCATATTCTTCCTCTGAATTCAGACTTCTTTCACTGAATACAGCCTTTTTCTCAAAATTCAGAATTCAGAAAATTCTTAATTCAGAGGATGAATATGATTTCTCTGAGAAGTTCGAATCTGATGAATTGTGTGATAAGATTTTGAATTCGGAAAAAAATACCGGCTTCAGAGAATGATTTCAAACATTCTTCTTTGAATTCAGGCTGTTTTATCTGAATTCAGAAACTCTTCTCCGTATATGCAGACTCTTTCCCCAGAACTCAATCTCCATTTCTGAATTTATATTTATCATCTTCATTCAGCCTTATTTTTTCACTGAATTCACACATTTTCCATATTCTATCTTCTCTAAATTCATACGTTTTCCTCTGAATTCATTTTTTTCTTTTCTGAGGTCAGACTTTCATTTCTGAATCCAATATTTCTTCTCTGAATTCAGGTGTTTTATCTCAGAATGCAGAAAACTCCATAGTCGGACTCTTTTCTCTGGAATCGGATTCATTCTCTGAATTCAACTTTTTTCTCCATATTCAGACTCTTTTTTACTGAATTCAGACTAATTCTCTGAGTTCATATTCTTCCTCTTGACAAAGACTTTTTTCACTGAATTCAGCTCTATTATTTTCCTGAATTCAAACTTTCCTCTCCATATTCAGACTCTTTTTTAATGAATTCAGTCTCATTCTCTGAATACATATTCTTCCTCTGAACAAAGACTTCTTTCACTGAATTCCCAACAAACAATGAACTACCGGGAAGTTATTGGCCCAATGCTTTCTTTGCTGGGGGAATGACTTCAGCGGCAAAAATCTGTTGGCCTTTCACATTCTTGTAGTCACTTTGCCAGTGAAGGAAATAAGTATTGGCCCTTCATCGTTTTATTGACTTTGGTGTTGCCGGGAAATAAAACAACTTCGTTTACTCAATCTTTAAAAAGGCCAATGCATTGTGATTCTGTATTCTTCCAATCATACGAAAGAAAAAACGATGAAAGAATTCATATTCCTCAAAAACCTGAATTTTTTCATAATTGACGATAATCATAATATGGCATTATTATAGGATCATAAGATCATTTCAATAAAGTCGTGAGTATGATCTACAGAAATTTGGGTTTTTTTGACATACCTATGACTCAAAACATTGTTGAGTATAGGTATGATATATCTGCATTATTGATTTGCTACTTTGAAGAACGTTTAATGAAAAATGCTTCTTTCCGCAAAATTAATAATAAAATAGTTTGCCATATGAATAGATCAGAAAATATTGTAAGAAATAATAATACATGATTCTCATCGTGAATAGATGTTATCAGATATTTGAACGTAGTTTTCCGTAGTTTTCAATTCTAGTCAACTTTTTTATATGATAATAATTTTCGATATTATCGAAAATAAAAACGGTACATTATTTACACTTGAACAAAATCAACTTTTTTGACATACCTCGTATACGACTGACAAAAATCGATATCTGATATTTGCATTTTTGTTTTTAGACCTTGCTGAAGTCTTTATGTTAAATGACTTTTTTTCCTAGAATTAATAATGAAAAAGTTTTCAATTTATTGTCACGTTTTTCAGACATACTGTATATTTTCCTAGAGTGATCCAAGATTTTTTTTATCGCTTGGAGCGCACGAAAGGGAATCCCTATAATGTTCAAAGAACATTATCCGAATGGAATGATATCATGGATTATTTCTCTTAGAATATCAAAGTATTAGTTGAAATATTATCAACAGAATATATCAGCTTCAAATATTCTCTTATCCGTTTCGATTCGTTTACATCTCACCGATACTCACTACATGAGTTTAGATACTAATACGAGTAGCTAGTCATGTTTTCATAGAGATATTCCAACGATATAGCCGTTGCAAAAATACGACTGAATGGATAGGACACCTGGAGAATGGACCATCAGGGCTACCAAGTCACGAAAATATATGAGGTCAACCTCCAAAATGAAGATCTTATCAGATCACAATCTTATCATCCAAAGTCGAGATATTTTTTATACTTCGTTCCTATGCCAGTATGGGGATTTGAAGGCCCATCAATGGAATGAATGCCGACTGATTGACCGTCGGGAAACCGTCGGCCAGAGTGTCCTTTTCTTGATGGCCCCGTACCAACGCTAGTCATTTTGCCGCAACATCTAGTTATGCGAGCAATGTATTGGGCCTTCAGTTTACCGCAAATGAATGTTTGCTGGGTTCAGTTCTATTTTTCTCTGAATTTAGACTTTCTTCCCTGAATTTATTCTATTCCAATATCAGACTCTTATTTTCTTTGAAAACACACTTCTTTCTTTGAATCAACATTTATTTTTTCTCTGACTCCATAATTCTTTCTCTGAATTCAAACTTTTCTCTGAACACAGTATCTTTTTCTGAATCCTCTGAATTCACTCTTTTTTCACTGAATTCAGCTTTTTTTCTCTGAATTCACACTTTCTTCCATATTCTGATTCTTTTTTCTCTGAATTCATAGTTCTTCGTCTAAATTCAAACTTTTCACCATATTCAGACTCTTTTTTCTGAAGTCAGACTTGTTTCTCAAACGAATTCAAGCTTTTTTCTCTGAAGTCGGACTTTATCTTTGAATTCATACTTTTTTGCATTATTCTTATGGCTATCCATGAAATATCTCCTGAAGGATATCCGTTACTCGATGGATATCTTATGGTTGTCCGATACAAATCCAGGGATATCCCGACCAGAATAGGACACACACGTTCATTCATAGTATATCCTGTGTTAAGCGAGATATCTTCAAAGGTCTGTGAAAAAGCCGTTCTTTCATGATGACTTCTTCTATTTTTCAGAGAACTCTCTGAGATAGCCCAATACGTCGACAAGTCCGGCAAAGAGGTCCTCCGGTCGAGGGACGAATGGGGCTACACCCCAGCCCACTGGGCAGCCTTGGACGGCAACGTCGAAATAATGCGCTACATCATCGACAAGGGGGCTCCCGTAGATCTGCCGTGCCTTGGGACGCAAGGCCCCCGACCCATACACTGGGCCTGCAGGAAAGGTAGGTCACAAAAAGGGCAGCATGTTACAGAATCATTTTTTGAAGTTTCACTCTTTTAAAGTTTAGCGAGTTCCTGTCAAAAAAAGTGTACGACGCTCCTGTATTCTAGTTTACTATTATCATAAGTCCGATTATTCGAGATTATTCTGTCGCTTCATTGTTCACGAAATTGTGTTGCCGATCAACACCACGATTCCCTCAGGAAGAGCGATATTGCTGTAAGGCAACACAATATATTGAAATAATACGAATACTTTTATTTTATAGAAACGAGGAGAGAAAATCCCAAAGAACCAAGTAAAATGAATGTACCACCTCCTCGATTAACCTACAGACAGTATATAATGCTATGTTTTTTTTCTCGTTTAGGTGTATGATGTAAGTATGTACCTATAGGTACTTACTTTTCATTGAATAATGTTATTTTTGTTGTAATTTTCTCTTCCTTCTTCTACATTATACCTAAAAAATAGGTAAACGTAAATATATCCCGTACTAGACTGGTATTCTGCTAGACAATTTCACGTTCACAATCCATAAAAAGCATTTATTATAAATGAGCGATCGATTCTGACAACTACAGCTATAGTTATTTTATGCCAAACTGACAGAATTTGCTTCGCTATCGCTATCCATGGTCCATGTCCATGGTTACTTCGTTGAAAATGAAATTCTCAATCTTGAGTCGAAGAGAATTTGGATTTTTAACTTCTGGATTTCAAATCTCAGACAAGAATTTGGTACGCCGCTGAAATCACAAGTTATTTCATATATAGTGTCGTAGACAATTTCAAACCAGTTCTCATTTTCATCAACGTGTGTCTATTCTGTACAAGATTTTGTACAGATGTGCTAATGAAAAAACGAATAACAATTATTTCCAGGTGTGTACAGTTGTGCTCATAAAAAACGGAATTGCGTGCTACATCACTCGGTGGTAGTGGAACAGAACGTTTGATCCATTTTTGCACTCGTTACTTCAAGAGAAGTAACGGGACAGCGACTCCTCGTTCGTACATTTATTTGTGAACAAATCTTGATTACATTGGCCGCCTGTACAATTGTGCTCACAAGCAACGGAATATTATAACCCACCTGAGTTCTGTTCAGTAAAATGTAACAACATTGACCGCCATATTCCTACAGTTATGCTCATAAAAGCTCGTAAAAAACAGAATAATAATTGATAATTCGTCTGTACAGTTATGCACATAAGAAACGGAATAACAATTCCGGTTGTACAATTGTGCTCAAAAAATTTATACATACAATAATTGTGCTAATTAAAAACGGAATAACAATGGCTCTTTTTCGTACAATGGATCTGATCTCTCAAAAAACAGAATAACGCTCAAAAAACAGAATGATGCATTCTCGTTTGTACAATTATTGTGTTCATAAAAGACGTACCGTTTTATCGATGAATGCCTGTACAGGGTGATCCAAATTTGAGGAGTACCATTGGGATCTCGGTTACCATAATATATACAAAGTCGTTTAAATTAGGGCAGAGTTGTCGCTTCAATAGTTTGGAAATTCCAAATATTATCGAAGATATTTGAAACGGCAACTCGTGGAGATGGAAAATGGCTACGAAAATGTCAAACCTATTTTGGTCAATCTCTTTTAGTAGAATGAAATGAAAAGTTATTCTCGCAGTTTCTTATTCGAAGAAATGTTTTTTACCAGAATATCTCGTATTTTTATTGAGCATTTTTTAAATATGGACTTGGAAACAATTCTCGAATGGGAATTCAATAACTTGGTAGATTTCAATGCAAACAAAACACAAGCATTCCTTTTCTCCAGAAAAGCCGATCTCACTGTGCCCAACATAAGCTTGTCAGGAGTAACCATACCTTCGAAGACATCCATTTCGATGCTTGGTATTACTATCAGCAATAACGTTTCTTGGGACAATCACGTGAGATCAATTGCTAAAAATGCATCCCAAAAACATGGTTTCCTGTTCCGGGCCATGAGCTACTTCACTTCCAGTCAGCTGCTTATGATCTATAAGGCACAGATCCGACCTGTCATAAAACATAGAAAAAAAGGAAATCAATTTTCTCATTCAAATTATCAATATCTCGACAAAGAAGCGTCTTACCACCAATTGTCATCTCATGTTTTCAGGTACTCGCTGAATCCGAGAGATTTACCACCTTCTCCCGGAATCATTTTAACTTTCTCATTTGTACATTTTTATTTTTGTCTTGGGATTGAAAAAAATTGAGATTCATAAAAACAATATAACCATCATAACCTCAAATTTGTGATGTCTTTGGGGGCTATGGCATCGGTGCTCGTTTCATTGGATCAAAATCTCATCCCATTTAGCCAAGAAGTCTAATTCGATCGCGACTTGATCGAGAAATAGAATAGGAAATGAATTCGACTTCGAGTTCATCATCGTATCGTACGACAATCGACGATCGTGAAACAGAATCCTCCTGCAGGTCACTCGGCGGTGGTGCAAGTCCTCCTGCAAGCCGGCGTGGCCGTCAACGCGGCCGACTTCAAGGGCCTCACACCCTTGATGACGGCCTGCATGTTCGGCCGGACGGCGGCGGCCGCCTTCCTGCTGGGCTCGGGCGCCACCAGCGGCCTTGCCGACATCAATGGCGACGCGGCGCTGCACTGGGCCGCCTACAAGGGCCACGCCGACCTCATACGGCTGCTGATGTACTCCGGCGCTGATCTGCAAAGGTCCGATCACTTCGGGTCGACGCCGCTGCATCTGGCTTGTCTGTCGGGAAGTTTGACGTGCGTCAAACTGCTCTGTGAGAAGGTATGCACGAGAGGATCGCGACAAGAATCTGTCACTGTCCATTTCTGTTTCCTGGTGCTAGTGATGCTGGTGCTGATTAAGGTCCAAACACAATGCAAAATAATAAGGAATATGAATAAGGAATAGCGCTACGATTAGTTCAAAACCCGTTCAGGATTAGACTTGACCAATAGCAGACATGCATTTTTCATTTTTTATTCCTTTATCTCTATTCATCTTCATTGAGTCACGATCTTTTAGGGTCCCTTGATGTAAATTGACGTATTTGTCATCTTAACAGGTTGGTTTGGGATGGCAGATGTACCTAAATATTCTGCTCTGGTCCCTCTTCCACCTCGTTTGTCTCTCTGCTACGGCCAGAATGGCAAATTCTTCAGCCTGAAAAACTGTAGTGTATTCTACTAGAGCGTAGCTCTCCCTAATACCTATTCCTTCTAGATAAATTCCTGCACCTGAGTCCTATTTGTCTCTCAGGCTTGATACCGTCCGTGTAACATAGTAGACTCCCAGGACGAAATTCCATTCTGTTCTCTTACCAATGTTCCCTGCTTTCATTAGTAAGGGTAAACATTCTATTCCATCTATGGAGATATAGGGATCTGCTCCTGCTCCATCGATTTCGCAACTTCAGCGTGACCTATCACTGCTCCTTCGTTAGCCCAACTCTCAGAGTCCCGCATCCTCAGATAGGACGCCATTGCTTCCCTCTTAACCAGATTTGAAGCAGCCCCAGCAGTACCTCCAGTACTGTTTTACTATGTTGTAGGAGGGCAAACCCATGTTCGCCACAGGCGCCATCATACTCTTTGGTTATGGCTCTGGTTGAAAGATCATTATTATCTAGTTTTTTGTTTTCAGAGTAACATCAATCTTGAGCCTTTGGACAAAAACGACAAAACCCCTCTGATGCTCGCCCAGAGTCACAGACACAACGAAATAGTCCAATTGCTTCAAATGGAGAAGAAACGACGATCCAGCTGGTTCCCCCCATTGAACGAGGTGTGGGGACTCCTTTTTGGTAAAGCCGGAAACTCAAAAGCGCCTTTGATCTTCTTCATGAGTTCTGTTCTCCTCTGGGGATACCCTATGTATGTCATACGAGTAAGTTTTGGAGTCTTCTGTAGTATTGTCGAATATACCCATTATAAAAGGATTTCAAGAAAATACACTCTTTTACTTAACATGCTGCTTCATTTCTCAAATGGATATTCTGATTTCTTCGAATATTCTCCTTCTACAGTTTCAATCAGCAAGAGCAGGAACTACCTCTGCCCATTTATAATTTTGTGTTTGTTTTTCTAGTGTATTCCAATAACCTGGAACATTCTTCGTGGTTCCCACTACTGTTTCATTTACTGGAACGTGGTGATGTGGGTTTGCTGGATAGTAGCGAACAGGAAGAATCCAGGTTACATACCAATGAATTCGGAATCATACCACAGGTCCATAAAACAGATACCCATGTATGATAAGTGGAAGAAGAGGAACGCCATTTTGAATCGACTTTGTCACACCTGTAGGTGCCTTAGGCCTCTGAGGGCCAAACACTGTAGGTGAGAAAATCTTATCCTGAACCAATATCTAGACCTCCTTTTAACAAGTAAACATACCTCTTAGTCCAATAAATGAAGGAGGAAAAAAAGGCAAAGTTAACGTTAATTACGCACTATTTTCATCTTCCGGTTGGAAGTAGCTTTTGGTACCTCATTAAACATGAGACAAAGTTTCACTGGAAAACGCGTGCGATGGCGGAGAAAATGGCCCCAAAAGACCAGGAAAATAGGTTTTCAGCCAATATCTCCTAAAATATGGCAGTTAGAGATTTTCGGTTCAAATAAATATTGAAGTTCAGTTCATTTTCTACAAAAATGGTCCTTATCATTTTTCTCGAAAATGTTCCCGGTTTCGAGAAAAACGGCACGAAACGCACCTCGAATAATGAGCTTCTGTGTTGTATGCCGGAGAGCACAGTCCGTGTATTTACACATCGGCGGGGGGACAAATTATTCAATAACTTTGTTAAAAATGCATATTTTCTCATGATTCAAAGTTCATGTGGAAGAGGAATTCTGCTGCTATCATACCCTGCGTGGCCGCATGGTTTGTAGCAGACGACCCGAGCGCCACGTAGAGCACACACACGGCGAACGACTTCAATAAATTATAGCTTGTACATTTAGATATACTGGTTTTTTCCAGGGATATCAAAGGTATGACTTATATACATCGATGGAAAGGTGGGAATTCCCCCGTTACACTAGTTAAGGTGTTAAAATGTTAGAAATAAAGAGCACGGAGAAAAAAAAACACCGAAAAAAAAAGTGCGTTTTTTCCTTGACCCCGCTTTTTCTAATTTTATTGAAAAATGGACGACTTCGTCTAAAAAAGTAATTTGCACAATCGAAAAGTAGACCTTCTTAGCTTCCAAATGATGTATCATAGAAACCAATCGGATCATGTATAAATTTTCAATTGATGGTTGTTCACAAAATTTCCCCGCGCTCCAAAAACAGCAGAAAATTGGGATTCAATAAACAAAGATTAAATGAAAATTTAAAAAAATTAGGGTATACAAATTTCAGGGATGTCGAAGGACCTTATGAGGACCCATAATCAAGAAAATTTTGAGTAAATTAGTGCAATACAAAAAAATAGGAACAAATTCCTGGCGAGGTCAAAATTGACCGGGAGCAGAAAGTTTGACCCATGTTCCAATATGGCCAAAAGAGTCAAGCGTGACTCAATTCACAGGGTATGATAGCAGCAGAATTCCTTTTTCACATGAACCATGAACTTTGAATCATGAGAAAATATGCATTTTTAACAAAGTTATTGAATAATTTGTCCCCCCGCCGATGTGCTCTCCGGCATACAAAGAAGCTCATTATTCGAGGTGCGCTTCGTGCCGTTTTTCTCGAAACCGGGCAAATTTTCGAGAAAAATAATAAGGACCATTTTTGTAAAAAATGAACTGAACTTCAATTTTTATCTGAACCGAAAATCTCTAACTGCCATATTTTAGGAGATATTGGCTGAAAACCTATTTTTCTAATTAATGTTAACTTTTTCCCTTTATTTATCGGACTATCTGTGGTGATTTGGAATGCAACACAACCAGATCATATCCAAACCAGTTTCCTGATTCTTGATATGTTTGATCCTTTTTTGCAGGATATGCAACAGATGTGTTTCCTACTTTGATCACCACTGTCCATTCATCTACAATTGCGTGGGTTTGAGAAATAGAACGTGGTTCTTTCTATTTGTGATGAGCATAGCTGTGAACTGCTCTTTTACTATTTATTTCGCTATGTATTGCATAGCAACAGAGGGATTCGGGATTTTGTATGTCCTTGGACTGCTCGAAGCATTCGTGTTTTCCGGATTGGGATGGATTTTAACATGTACCTCGGTAAGTATCATCAAATGTAATTCAAAAAATTCTAGTAGCGTGCGGAAAAGTCACACACTACACTAACGAAACTGATTTTTTACGCCTCGACACGTGTTTCACTAACTATGTTCGCATCTTCAGGGAAAGATCAAAACTAAATGTTGTGTGCTACTTATATATACTATAGGTATATGTCTACCCAACCGTGAAACCGCCAAGTTGAAGTTAGTCATGGTTGAAATCACATCCATTTGGAAGAACGAAGTTAATGTCAATATTTTAGAAAAATAGATCTCATCACGCAATAGATGTAACCAATATGTCAGATTGATGTATCTTATATGGTTCTCTATACACATATGTAATAAATCAGTTAGGTGAATGACCCTGTATTCATTCGAACTGACGAATACGATAGCAGGAAAACGGTCTGCAGGTGGTTATAACCTCCCAGCGAGCACAAAAATCCCTGGGATGTTTAGGGATGTTTTGAAAATGTTGGCATGAAGATGTTATTTTGAGACGTAATATGCACTGACCAAAGAGGTCTGTCTTTGAAGGATATTGAAGTATTGTTTTTGTTCTTCTGTGGCATATCTTTGTTTGCCTACTGAGAGGTATCCCTGGGATGTTTTGGGATGTTTTAGAAATGTAGGCATGAGGATGATTTTTTGAGGCGTAATATGCACTTCCCAAAGAGGTCTTAGAAGGATATTGAAAGTATTGTTTTTGTTCTTTTGTGCCCTTTCTTTGTTTGCCCCACCACAAGGTCTCATGCTTACGTCACAATACGATAAATTCTGATTTGTTTTCGATTTTGTTCTTCTTGTTCGCAATTGGCATTCGCGTTTGCAGCGTGTCACGCTCACATCACGCTGCTAACGAACAGAAAGGAATTTGGTGATAGAAGATTTATTTAGTTTGTAATAATGACCACCAGATGCAAGATGTATTGTTCGGTGCCTCAGTTGTAATCAATATATAAAAGTACGAATTTATCAATACACAGCTTCTCCGCAGTTGCAAAATTATGCATTGTGGAGAACATTTCAAAAATTGGGAAACCTATTTCCAATTATATGTCTGTGTGTAGTAAGCACTACTCAGAAACCGATTAAGAAGGTAATTTCATATCAAGAAAATATTTTTATGTTCAATCTATTTTTAATGCATTTTTTCATTCAAGGGAAATGGAATCCTAATGCAAAAGTTCATTTTGACAAAAGGCTTCAGAAAAGTACCTCAAAAATGGTTTTTTTTACAGCGATTTAATGTGCGCAAGACGCGTTGAAAATGTTTTGTTGTGTCCATGAAAAGGCTTTAAAAAGAACTAGGGAGAAGGTAGTTTTGTGACATATCAAGGACATCTCGATAATTGCCGCCTGCGGCGGACATTGGCTGTTCTATAATAGTTCTATTCATGTGTGAACAGAACATCGCAGTGGAGGTTCAATGTCTCGAAATCTCGTACTTTTAACATCTCTGAGATATTTTTGTGCTCGCTGGGCTGGCTTCAATTCAAGCACAATTCGGCGGCATTTTTGTAAAAACACACAAATTTGTGGATGTTTTCCTGAGATCTTCATTCACTATTCAAGTAGGTATGTATCCGTCGTGTGATCATAAATGATTGTTTATTATTTCAGATTCTTCATGCATGCATGAACCTCACTACAAACGAAATGTTCAACTACAAACGTTACCCTTACTTGAGGGACAAGCGAGGGCGGTATCTGAACCCTTTTTCAAGGGGACCCATACTGAATCTCATCGAGTTCTTCTTCTGCACACCTGAAGACTACGATGACGATTACGGCTACGACTATATTTGATATAGGAGGAATAGTAGCAATGTTAGCGAGTTTAAAAAAACACACAGATAGCTTTTAAAAACTTGATGCTTCATCGAAAAGTTCGCTTCAGGATTATAAGAAATTTCCAATTTTCAATAATATTTTCATTAAAAAATTGTTGATGATTTTAAAACAATGAGCAGAATAATACCTTTGTATCTTTCTTGATTTGACACTACACGGTAAAAATGTTTGAGATGATTTTAACTCTAGGTTCAAAAACTTTTTGTCAATCCTAGTCCAAACCATATCGTGTAACCACCTACCCTCTGAATTATACTGACATAAAAGGTCTCAGAAGTATGAAAAATTTTCGAGAAATCAAGTGCACAATTTTGAATGGAATTCAACAAAACTGAAGTTATTGATGGAACCAATTGTTCATCTCTATTTTGACGAAAAGCTTCACTCAATAGGACTTCACCGTGTAAAAAAATATTATTTTGATCGCTATAATTTTTTGAATTAATATACCATGAGCCTTCTTTGATTTTAAATGCAACGTATTTGTTTCCATAGCACCCTGTATGTATCCATATACAGGGTTTTCAAACTTAAGTCGGCACTATTGCAAACATGGTTCGATTTTTCTTTCGATTTCGTATTCGTAATCAGCGTCCATTTGACCGACTTTGTAGCTCCAATAATAACCAAGTTAGTAATATAGTGTCGACCCTGTATATCTGTATCGACATTCGCTTCAATGTTCTCATCGCCCCAGTTGATGTTCCTATACTTTTAAATGGTTTAGTATATTTGTTCAGGACAATCAACTCACAGTGTTTCCAATAATGTCAATCAAAAATAAGAAATGGTAAGAATATTATGGGCCCAAAGTCATTGAAAATTATGTATGTACCTGGGTAATTATTATAAATGTCATCAGACTATTTTCAACTGAAAACGAAATTGCTATAATATTACAGAGAGTGAACAGTCTTCCATTTTTTGTTTTTATGTTTCTCAATTTGTGTTCCTTCGTATTTATAATGCTCATTTGATACAAACCTATCATGCACAAGAACTAAGATGGAAACTTGCTTGATAAACAATACTATTAAGGAGAATCGACCCCCTGAACTTAATCAAACAAAATATAAAATATCGAAGGTATATACTTACTATATTATTTGAATTGCTTTACAGTCTTCCATTTATTGTTTCTATGTGTCTGAATTATCAAGAACTAACCATAACGTTGAATGGAAAAAAGGAACAATATTTGTGAAATGAATATAGGTACCTGATACCTATTCCAAAAAGGTCAAATGACAGTGCACAACGTTCAATAAACTATGTACATGGTATCACATGATGTGAAAAAAATTGGTGTGAAAGAGCATTGGCAATGGAGTAATTGGTTTATGTTTGCAATGAAAAAAATTACTGTTTGTTATATTTCTCTCAAATCCTTCTATATGTACCGAATATAATAATAGATTTTAAATTGTCCTTTTATTTCGTATTCCAAGAAATCCAAAACTCCGCCATGGTTACTCGAAATACCTACTGTTTGGTGCCAATAGCTACAAAATATTTATATGCCAATGTTGCTGTTTCATCTCCTTCACCATCTTCTTTTCTTATTGTTACAGATGGCAGTGTTCTAACAATTCTCAAATATTCTCTTATATAATCTTCTCTATCTTCTATGGAAATTTCGGAAACAATAACATGGTTCAAAGATAAGGCAAATCCTGAAACGAAAATGAATATATGCATGACTATTGATTTTAAAATGAATTTTTCCATTTCATTTTTCTTTTCTATTCTATAAATACATAAAGAAATGGAGATGATACCTATATAGATACGTTAGATAACTTACCATCCAAGCTTTCTAGATTGGGAAAAGTATAAGTCATTTCCTCGATATGACAACGGACGTTGACGAACCCTGTTTGTGTCAATAAGTTTTGCAACTCTTCCTTAGGATTGGTCCCATATTGGAATCCCGGCCAATATTTATCGTGGTTATAATGCTTCCACCTGCTGCTTTCCAATAAATCTCTTACTGCTATTGTCAAAGGATTATGGACTACAAATACTGCAAAGAAATCAGCACCGCGTTTTAAAAACTCGAAAATGTTCTTGAATGCAGCCCTGAAATGAAATTCAATTGAAGTTTTTCTAGAGAAATAAGTTAGTGGTGTAGTTATATAGTTAATTATATATCATCTAAGTCCATCCATCCTGAAGTGGAGGAAGAAAATCTCACAGTCAACTCCACCAAAACTATATTATATTCAAAATTGACATGTTTCGAAGATTCAAAGCTTCATCATCAGCAAAAGTTGTGTTACAGGAACTACTTCAATAAGAGACAAAAAGCTACGCCAGGCAAAACATTCGAATAATGAAAGTCAAAGAAAACCTCATCTGTTCTGGGGAAAAAATCATCATGGAATCGTTATGGAATTAGAGATTTTGTTGTATTTTCCGATTTTTTGGGTGTGAAACACACATGCGTAAATTAATGAACGCTTCAGCAGCCGTCAGCTGAAGCTCATTTTCTGCGCTTGAGACAATCCATATACATCAATATAATTGAAGAAGATAATTTATGCACGTCAGAGTATTATATCATTTAGTTTCATATCGTTTCATGGTGTATTTAATCTATGATTCCATTATGGTATCTCGTTAGGTTTCAATAAACCACTGATTTTTCTAAACGACATCATTATGATCTCTATACCAGAAAACTACTAGTAAATATAATTTTTTTAAAAAAAAATCGAATATGTTCATTTGGGAACACACACTCCAATTCATTGGTATGACTGGTGTGACTGGTGTGACATATTAGTCCCGACACGCCTATTGCCCTCGAGCTGACCAATCACACTGCAACACTGCAGAATGGCAATGTATCAGAGAGAGATCGCTACAGTTGGGGACTAATACGTCACGGCTCGATTTTCATAACTGGCTCTTTGAAATATGCTGGTTTCAAAACGATATATATTCAATTCCCCTCAACTTATTATATCGTTGATTTGATCCCTCAGTGGTCTTCCCCATTACCGTAAAACGTGGGTACTTTGCCAGAAATATCGGGTTTTTCGCAAAAAATTATTGAACGGTGAATGATATGTACTCGCCTAAGAAGTATATGTTCAATTTTGGCTCTTTCTTCATAAGACTGATAGATTCAATCTGCAGTAGGTATAGAGATAGTATTTCATTTTTGAATTTTGAAATTGGCATGTGATGTAAAGTATATATGTATACACAGGGTGTTCCGGTGATCATGTTACAAACTTCTATGGTAGATAAAACACACGAAAATAAGAAAAAAAGTTCATGTGAACATGGGTCCGGAAACGCTTCTTCAGGGAGCTAGGGCCCTTCGAGGATGACCTTCAAAAACTACTTTTCGTTTTATAGCTTCGGTACTACTGCAGCTAAAGGTTCACCAACATCATGCAGGTAAATATGGTGCACCAACTGAGCTGAGTGAATAGATGACGGGGAGCTTGTGGACGTCATCTTTGCCTGTGTGCTGAATATGGGTGCCCCTTCATGCCTCTGATTTCATTTTTCCTTAATATTCTGTTTTTTTTTTCAATTCGAGAACTAGTTCTTATACAGTGTGACCCACTTCTAATGGAACCACCCCTGTATCTTACGTAATCGTTGGGTAAGGATCCAGAAATTTGCTGGAGCGAGAGATATACCAAAAATGCACTCTATGACCAAGTGGAGTCATCTTCAGTGATATACACTGCTCGCCAACAGCCATGAAACTACCCCAATTTCCGGAAAATGATATTAGGAGTCAAAATAGGTCGAAAATCACTTCAGATTTGGAATCAGGACGCCCGATTTACTAACTATTCAAAGTTTTCCTGGAAAATTTTCAGTTCGGAAAAATGAAATTTTGTCGCATTTTTTATAGAAGCACCCCCGTATCTCACGTAATTGACTTCATCTTTGGACTTTCTCTTCCTCCGGCAAATTTCAGAACCCAACCTTAATAATTACGTGAGATACGGGAGTGCTTCCATAAAAATGCGACAAAATTTCATTTTTCCGAACTGGAAGGAAAAATAAAATCAGTGGAATGAAGGGGCACCCATATTCAGCACACAGGCAAAGATGACGTCCACAAGCTCCCCGTCATCTATTCACTCAGCTCAGTTGGTGCACCATATCTACCTGTATGATGTTGGTGAACCTTTTATCTAAGGTCCTGCGTTGTATCCTTGGTATATTGAATATTTTTGACGCTCCGTTAAAGTTTATGCGAAGTCACTCGGAAAGAACACATCAGCGCAAGCCGTCGGTCCCTCTGAAAGTTCAAAGAGTGCGGCAGCGCGGCCCGACATTCGTTTGATGATCTGTTCAACTCACTTTGCATAAACTATGCATAAAATGTCTTTTCAGGAGTGTAATCACATAGTAATGACTCCTTAGTACTTTTTGTATTCCCTATATAGACATATTACGGACCTGTAGATCATAACATAAATGTACGGCAAAAAATCGTCAAGCTATCGATATAATGTTTCGAAAACCTATGAGATTATCGATACTAGGCCTGTTGAGCTCACTACTACGAGGATATTGAAATTAAACATTCCAGATTCCAGAAGATACTTACGAAAACAACTGTCGCATGAACCCAAAAACTAGCGCCAAATAGGCAGGTGGTTTTTGGCACCTATAGAGCTCTAGCCTATTGTGCTATCTGGAATCTATTGATACCAGACCAACTGAGGATCCTGAATATTCGTTAGGCGAAGTCACACCAATTTAGTATTAACAGTTGAGAAATGAAAATTTCTTTTCAGATTTTTCACGAACTCATGGCAAAGTTACCTGGAGGTTCGTCAGATTGTTTTGAAATTTTTCAGAATGGGCGACATACCAATACACCATTTTTTATTCTCAATCTTCCGTACTCACCTTTGATTCTCAACCCAGTGGAGACACATGAAAGAGAAGATGTAATCGAAACTGTTATGGAAACCATCTGGAATATGCTGTGAAGCTATATCAAACTTTAAAAATTCCACATTTTCATGAACATGATTCTGTTTAGCAAAGTTTGTCATACTTTCGGAAATATCCACTGCAACAAGCTTTTCGAATTTCGGAATTTTTTCCACTAGGTGTTTCACAGTAAACTTTCCATCCCCACTGCCAACGTCCATAACTTTCATTGCCTTTTTGGGCAATTTTATCAAATGCCAGTATTTTTCCAGAATGTACAGATCATCTCTCATCTGCAGGTTGTTGAATTCGGAGTAGAGTTTTGCTTGATCCATAATAACGTTATACCACAGAATACCCCAAACAATCTTGCCAGACTAACCCAATGAAGCTCACATTTGAGCTATACAAGGTAACAAGGTATAATCATAAACAGTTCTCCTTCGATTTTAATTCAGGACAGGTTCGGACTGGTTCAGTTTTTCGTGATCGAATTATCGCACTTTGGCATTAAATAATAGAAGTTTCCTCGAACGTATTTCTAGAAACGCTTCTTTAAGTTGGAAATACCGATACTCTTAGGAAGTTCCATTTTTTGAACAACCTATATCGTGTGTGTCCCAGATCTTTTCGTACATTGGTTACTCTGTAGGTATTGTCAAAGTTAAGTTGTTGAAATAATTCGTGTAAGAATGCATCAACAATTTTAAACGCTGCATTGATCGAATGATGTAGTGAAATATTTTTTATTCACTTTTCAGTATTGAATAACTAATCCATCAAGTCTGACACTAAATGATAAGAAATAAGTGGAACTGATGGCTTTTTTTCTTTTGGAAGTTCGAAAAAACATTGATGATGGATAGAAATAGGTCGAAACAGATTCGAATCACCTTGTATAGTACATTGTTGAATTCAGAATAAAAAAACCTTTTAGAATCTGTGAAAAAATCATCAGGACCGTATTCAAAAAACAAAAGTTGATGATGGTTCCACGAATACGAAACGTCGCATAAAAAAATCGGTATCACCACGTTAAACCTCATCGAAAGTTGCAATGAAAAAGTATTTTCAGTTTTTTTGTATCTCTGATAATAACGGAGAAAAAGAATAAAATAGAAATTCCAAAAATTCACTTTTTTCGATATAACTCAAAAACTAAAAATAATTTTTAAAGTTTTCGAAGGCTCTTGATATGAGCCTCCGAATGCGCAACTTTTTCCCCATTTAACCGATTTCGTATCTCTTACCGTTTTCGAGATCCCCATGCTGTTCAACCTTATCTTGGACAGACTGTATATAAATTACATTTTTCAAAGTAAACGTTGATGATAAGTTCATTTCCCTCTTAAAAATCAACTAAAGCAACTAAAGACTTGAACCAAAAAACAAAATGTTGAAAAGGATCGGTTCTTAACAAAAAATTGGTATTTTGAAAGAATTTGACCACGAAATTATTTCACAGGATGTTTTTAAATTAGGGTATATCAACATACTTCTAGTTAACCCTGTATAATGACTAATGAGCCAGCATTCAACAAAATACTGAATGTGCCAGTTGAAATTAATGATTTTATCCACAGTTTGCTGAAAAAATTTTGGAAATTGAAGTAAAAATAAAAAAAATATGAGACTTCAAATTTTACCAAATATTTACTTGTTGCGTTTTTTTGCATGTGAGTGTATATCAGTTGCCTTAGTCTCCGTCGGGCTTTTGGTATTTTCTTTTAACTATGGCGAGATAAGGTTTCTACGTCATAAGAGGGTCCGTTTTCAGAAGGTACTATTATTTATGCCCAAAAATAAAACATTCCAGTAAATTTTTCGATCGAATTATGTCGTCAATCATTATTTATGTATGAAAGGATCATTATAAACATGGTTTAAGTTGAAAGTTCTACTAAGGTGTACACACCCATTGTCATCTGAATTCCGTTTAAATCAAAATATCAGTATGGGATTACGAAAAAATCATAACAAAAGAAATTATATCTACACCTGATACCACACTCATGGATACTACTTTTCCTAAAAAAAATCTCCAGAAAAGCTACTTTAACATAACCAGAATCCGACCCTGTGAAAAATGATGTAGCCTAATAACATTTAAATTGGTACACCTAGCGAATGATGATTATTTTTTTATAAATAGAATAAAGCTAATACAGACAGCATCAACACTTATTATATGTAAACCAGATTGTACCCAGTAAATACAAACATCTCCGGGATGTCACATTCATTTCTCGCTAGGTAACAATGCGAATTACAAAAAAACATCATTGACATCGTCCACCAATATTCTAATTTGGTGGACGATGTCATTGAGTCATTGGTATAATGTAGGTGAATTTATGAGGCTCCCCAACAACCAAGCTATGGTGTGCATTGCTCCTTTTATACTGCCTTACTTTTTTGTGAAACGAATAACACCGCAAACAGAATTTTCACAGTCCTTCATGTTTTTGAGATACAGGGCGAAGTTGAAAATTCTCTCTTTTTGAAGAACCTTGTATATACGTTCGTTACTTCTCGACGTATCGGCAGAAGGAGCAATTTTCTTTTCTTTTTCAAATAAAAAGAAAGTCAACTAGAATTATATATTTATCGAATATATCGATATTTTTTCCCTTGAAGGGAGGAATTATAAACGCCAAGTGTTGATACAATTCTCTCATTGAGGTACTTATTGTGTTATCATGTAGAGTCTTCAAGTAATTGAAAAGTTGTTTCTATAATGAATAAATAAATAAGAACCTTCTATAAATTGATCCTGAAATGTTGCAATAATGCATCACTCTCTATTAAAATAATACCATGTCAAATGTTAAATAATATTATATTTTTTGATTTGACAGTATTTCAATAAGTTTCCTACAATAAAATTCTATTCATACTACGTTAAATATAATTATGTAATTATAATAAATATATAATTGTTGTACCCATATCTTCAGTCTTCATAATTATCTATTTTGTGTCTGTGACTTTGTTTATAATATGTACATACATAATAATATACAATAAGTCTGAAAAAGTTGTCAAATTTTAGGATGAAGTCCAACTTCATGGAAAATTCTGCAAAGCCTAAAATCGAGAATGCAAATATCAGATATAATTTTTGTTCAGTCGTATACGAGGTATATTAAAGATTACTAATTTAGCACAAGAGGAAAGTACCTAACTACGTGCAAATATCTGATTGTATCTATCTACGATGAAAATCAGGTTTCATCAGTTACTCATTGATATTTTTTGACATATCGCGTATTCGACGAATCAAATATGATATCTGATATTTGCATTCTTGGCATACAACCTTGCAGAACTTATCATAAGGAAAGCCTTTTTTCCTAAAATTGATAATAAACAAGTTTTCGATTTAATTGTTGCCAACTTTTCCAGACAAAATGTAGGTATGTATATTTGTTTTGATATTTATCTCTGGATAAAGTTGAACCAAGTTACCTCAATGGTTTATAAGCATGAACAACGAATAACTGATATTCCACTGTTAATGATTCTTCATTATTGTTAATGTTCGAGATGGTAACACTTTTCAGATTCCTAACTTCTTTCATGAAGTCTTCGGTATAGGCTGGCACATCATCAGGTGATAAGTTGGATATTATGGGATTCACTGAGAAAATCGACTCTAAAACAATTGAAAAAAAAATTAAAAAGCTAAAGTAGAATAAGAAAGAAGAAACATGCAATGAACAATGATTGCCGGTTCATAGCGATCAATGAGAATTTAAAGTAAGGAACATTGAGATTAAAATAATTGAAATAGTGTCGTTGAAACATATTTAGCCTTCTTGTTTTTAATCTAAAAATTTTTTTCTGCAATCGCCTCAAAAGTCGTCTATTTTTGTTCCAAAGTTAGCTCTTGAAGTTGACGTTTCTCTTACTGACACAATAAAATGATTAGTATATATGTTGCCAGGCAACACTTCCAGTGTCTAGGATCTATACCTTTTCAACTTCAATTTCGGAATCGGTGAGTTATATTTCGGAAACAGTAATCTCAATTTCAGAATTGGTTAGTTCGATTTCAGAAATGGTAAACTCAATTTCAGAATCGGTGAGATGAATTTCACAAAAAGTCCATTCAATTTCAGAAATGGTAAGTTGTATTTCAGAATTATTATTGCGTGGGTTCAATTTCAGAAGATGAAATCCTTTTATATGTTTGAAATGTTTTTAATTGCAAAAGAGAAGATTGTTTACAGTGGATGGAACGGTGTTTGAGAGCCCTATGTTGAATCAGATTGAACATATCTGGGGTGCCTTCAAGTTGAATATTTTAAATATGGTTTGTTAATCTCACATGCAATTCGAAACATTTCGAACAAATATAAGGATTTTTTTATGATATTGAACATACCAATTCTGAAATACAACTTACCATTTCTGAAATTGAATGGACTTTTTCTGAAATTCATCTCACCGATTCTGAAATTGAGTTTACCATTTCTGAAATCGAACTAACCAATTCTGAAATCGAGATTAATTTTTCCGAAATATAACTTACCGATTCCGAATTGAAGTTGAAAAGGTATAGTGTTTTAGAGTTGAAGTTTAACTCCTAGGAACTAAAAGTGTCTCGGATGACAGCTGATATTATAGCTGCTTTGACACTGACATGCTCAAGTGAGTCAAAATAGTAGCAACTTCACTTATATTCCATTAAATATATATCAATTATTTCGATTGCAGAAAAAATAGAATGTTTCGACTCGCAAATATCGCTTTTCGAAGAAATTGTCATATTTGATGCTAATAAAACAATGTACTATTATAAGTTCGTAGAAACCAGATAGAAACTTACTTTTATAAATGTCAAAGTTGGGATAAATGAAACTCCTTGTTTCTGTTTTGCACAAAGTGGTGGTGAAACCAGTCGAAACTAACAATTTTTCCAACCGCTTTTCTGGATTTGCAAGGCCGTGATAAGGAGAAATGTACTCTTTTTTAGTATAAGACTTCCATTTCTTGTTCTTCGACATATTTTTATAAATTTGGTAGAGGTCAGTTTTCGCCAAGAATGTCAGGAATATGTCTCCACCAGGTTTCAATAATTTGTACATATTTTCGAACGCTTTCCTGAAAAATAAAAAATAAAAAATTATAATTTCCACGAAATATATTATACTATAGTAGTTATACTATAGTAGTTATACTACATTGTTTGCCAAGAAATGAACTGAATGTTAAATATATCTTAGCTCTTTTTTATTAATGTTTTTGTTAGTTATTTCTTAAATTTTGATTTGTCATGAAAACACCGCAAATCAACGCATTTTCCGATTTCATAACATGAAAACAAAATTAAGTATTTGTTGAAAACCCTCCAAACTGATGAAAATGTTATTTTTTTCGAAATCAATCAAAGCATCAGCATACACAATGAACTTTTTATTTGTAAATGGAACGATATTCCTTATTTGCTTCGTGGAATTTTACATTTTTTCTACAGTGTGTTTCATAATTGAATGTCAATATTTGGGGAGGCGATTCGATCTTGAGCCTATTCTAAGAAGAAAGATTGATACCACTTCAGATATTCTAATGGAATTTTGCATACATGTACTATGTATCAATAAGAGGCATCAGTTAGTGTGTCACTTTTTTTTTGGTTGCCACCAGTGGCGTTCGTATAGAATTTCACATACCTATTTTGGCAGACATTGATGGTACACTACTGATTAATCTCGAGATTGGAATCATTCCTGAAATTCCCAATCATTTCTGAGCAAATTTGATCACCACAATTTTTTCAATCTGATGCGCACGATTTTCGCTTAAAAAATAAAAAGCTTTTCACTACATGATTATAGCAATATCGTTCATGTAACAATATCACAATGCAGAAAAATAGATTTTATGTATTAGATCAAATTTCTGGTATACAATTCATAGTTTATGAACTCCGTATTCGTATCTGGTATTTTGGAATTATAACTTTTCATTGTAGTAGGCTATATTAATTCTTGAGAAGTTTACCACCCTGTATCTCATAATTTAGGACGTTTAGGTCATACGCTTATATGAAACTTTCTCCTTAGAATCGCCTTGAATATTGATATTCAATTATGAAACACCCTGTATATTCAACAATTGCAAGTTGATATTTGAATATAATTTTGTGGATAAAATATGTGGAATATTGATCAGGAGTATTTTGAAAAATCTATTTTTACACTGCTTATTCACTGACCAAATAACATAGACGAAGATAACAGCAAAACATTTTTTATTCAAAATAATTTGAATATTTCGGTGCGGGACCGAATACCAAAAACCGATATATCTCAAAAGAGGCTCACTTAATCGAATTCTCACAAGTATACCTTTTTTGCTTGAAAACAAACATTCGAATATTTCCCCAACACAAAAGTGAAAAACTACACTGAGAAAAAAGTTATGGCTATTCTAAATCATAAAAAATGCATTGGTAAGCGCCTTCTAATGGCCACAGTGAAAAGTTAACTCATTTTTAGACTAAAATCACTCATTCATATGCCAACATCAGTATGACACTGAAAAGTGTCAAACTATAAGCAGCACAACTTTCAAAGAAAAATATTTTGTTTATTTGTTTGTTTTTATATATTGAACAGGCTCCGAAACTACTGTATCGATTTGGCTGAAAATTGGTGGAGAGGTAGCTTAGAACTAGTAGGAGGTTATAGGATACTTTTTATCCCGGTACCAATAGGAAATTCAAGATGGCGGATCTAATATATTGGACGAGTTTTGTAATTATGGTCCGATTCTATTCAAAATTGGTATCTGAGAGGGTTTTCGGGGTCGGAGAATATGATTATTTCGTCAGAATTCGAAAATTCGGGTGGAATTTGGAAATTCAAGATGGCGGAACCAATATAATGGCGAACGAGTTTTGTAATTATAATCCGATTCTTTTCCAAATTGGTACCTAGGGGTTTTCGTGATCGGGGATTATGATTCCTTAGTAAAAATAAAGAAATTCAAGATGACGGATTCAAAATGGCGGATTTTGTATGAGGATCCGATTTTATTCAAATTTGGTATCTGGTGGTTCTCAGGGTCGGAGATTATGATTCTTTCGTCAAAATTAGGAAATTCAAGATGACGGACCCAATATATGGCGAACGAGTTTTGTAATTATGATCCGACTCTCTTCAAAATTGTTATCTGGGTGTTTTCGGGGTCGGAGATTATGACTCTTTTGTCAAAATTTGGAAAGGGGGGATTTGGAAATTCAAGACGGTGGAACCAGGAGTTTTGTAATTATATATACCGATTCTATTCAACATTTGTAAGTTGGCGTTTTCGGGATCAAATATTATGATTCCTTCGTCAAAATTAGGGAATTCAAGATGGTAGAAATCCAATATTGCGAACGAGTTTTGTAATTATTATGTTCCGATTCTATTAAAAATTTTCATCTGGGGTTTTAGGAGTCGGATATTATGATTCTTTAGTCAAAATTGGGAAATTCAAGTGTACTTGAAAGAAGTTGAAATAAATGTTAGTTTGAAAAACTAAAGAAACACGCTTTTATAGGTTGCGAAACTAAAAAGAAGTAGAAAATAAAATAATGATAGTGTCTTGATGAATACTGAACCGAAAAAATATATTATAGAAATAATGTATATAGCAAAACAACGTCTGCTAGTTATTCATAAACTCGCTAGTTCTCGCCTGAGCCCCGATCTCACGAGATTGCATTCCCTAATTATTCCACTCACCTTTGTTTCCTCACCCAGTGCAAAGCGTAAAACGAGTAGATATGATGAAACCCTCCGGCGAATCCTTCGGGCAACGCCTCAGAAACGATGTCGAACCTGACGAACTCCCTGCCCTGCCTCCCATAGTTCTCGTTGGCGAATCTGACCATGGCCTCGGAACAATCACACCCCACGAACCGACCCATGGTCCTGGGCAGACGCGGGATCAGGCTCTCCACCGCGAATTTCCCGTCTCCTGATCCCACGTCCAACACGCTCTCCCCGTCGCTGCTCCAGCGGGACAAGCTCAGGTAGGTCTGGAGGACGAACAGGTTGTCGGTGCGCTGGAGATCGTTGTACTGCGAGTAGGTTTGGGGCTGGTCCATTTTCGGGGAGCAAATTTCGGTAGGACGAGGTAACAGAAGACGAAAAGGAAAAGACGCTGGCGAGGAGCTTTTATATTATGTAAGAGGGGCGGGTCAGCTTTTAGGCAGTTGCAACGATTGTTGGTGAAAAGTTGGTGGGACGAGGATGGTATGAAGTTGTTTGGGGAATGGGAATGATAGAATTGCGTGGAAATCTAATGGAATTTTTAGTGATGCGGTACGTACAGGGTGTTTCGAAATGAAACGAACACCGGAACATAATGAAAAATTCTTTCACATCACATTCCAAATTAGGACTATAATCAGTTTTAAATCCAGGAAATAGATATTTTCGTATCTATACCTTTTCAACTTCAAATTGAGCATTATCATTTTCGAAATAGGAATAATCATCCTCAAATTGGGACAGACTGATTCTGCATGCATGGATTTAACACATTCAATTGAAAATGAACAAATTCAAATCGGGACTAATCAATTTCGAAATCGGAACAACCAAATTCAAATTGGAAAACAATAATTTGACACTGATTGATTAAATCCAAATTCAAACTAAACAAATCCCAATTGAAACCAATCACTTTCAAATCGGAACTAAACAAGATGGAATTGATTAATCTGGTATAGCTGATCAGTTGAAGATACCAAACACAAAATCCCAGAAAAACAGAGTAGTCGAATTTGTATTTTCACTTATTTTTACACATCTCAAAGGATTTTAATTACAAACATGTAAGTATGAACACATATTAATTATAAATATATAAATTGAACAAAAAACGAGAAAAAAATTAAGTTCACCGCTTTGAAACAATTTAAATGAATGAAATCCACGTGATTGTGCCCTCCGCACGGAAATTTGAACAGAGGTGACGTCAGAATGGCTACATTGTAGAACTTTGGGTGGAAAAAGTGGTCTAACCTCAAATTTGATTTTGATCCCTATATTTTTTTATTGGTACCACTCGATTGTATACGTCGAGCTTTCTCAAGGCAGGAAATATTTGCACTGGAAGCTTTCCATATTCTTCGATTCTGAATCGTACCAGTATATCACCTGACGAAGCTACTATGTTAGCGAAACATGTCGTGTGTGTTTGAGAATTTTTTGGAAATCTTATCGTTTATGAAGTTTTCACATTCTTCGATTCGTATGATTTTTTCATGGAATATTCTGATCGACTGACTTATTCAGAATCGGGAAAATCCAGGACAGTTCTTGAAAAATTTTGATAGTTTAGTTTATATCAAAAAGTTCATCCTGTATATCGTTTTTGTAAATTGTGACAGGGAATTTTCAAGGGTCACAAACAAACATCAACAATAAAATATTTCAAATTTTCCTCACACTCTCACTTCAGTTTGTAAAAACTATAAATTTTATAAAAAAAAGAAAATTTGACAAAAAAATTATTTATTTGGATCAATGCTTCAGCTCAATGAAAATCAACATATTATTTTATTTTCAGGCCTGGATTTAGTAGTTAAATTTTTTTGTAGATCTTTTCCGAATCAGTGGATGAGGTATAATTTTATGATTTCAATTCAGTTAATTTGATCACTTATTTTCCGTACTAGAATTATTATTCGCCTTCGTCAGAATTGTCAGTATAGCTTTTGAAAAATAATTGTGAGTAAACCATTATTTTGTGTTCGACTATCTTGAATTATTTGAATCGGTGACCATTAACATCTAAACAGATACCCCATCCACTGATTTGAAAAAAAATTACAAGGTGATTATTACCCTCCACAAAAAATGAAATGACGAAATCCTGTTCATTCCCATTGGGCTAAAGCATTTAAAATGTGAGTCTTACTTTTATTCGTAGAATTAATGCGTTGCGAAGTAATTATTTTCGAATGAATGAAATTTGTTGTCAAACTTTCGTTTTTATTTATAATCTATCGTTTTTTGAAAAATTCTGTGAAAGTGTGAGGAGAACAATTCCTCATGACTCACCCTGTATGAGCAGAGGGTGGCACTATTTCAGTTGCCAATACGATCATTATAGGAACCCTGTAGAACTCTGGGGTGAATTCAAATTATAGCTCTCTAATGGGAATGGGTACATTGAAAATTTAAGAATGCTAGAGATCTTTTCTGAGTTACACTATAGGCAAAAAGATACTTGTTTTTCCATCGATGTTTGCCTTTGTTGTGTAATTCATATAGATCATTCTGTGTAAGTGTTTCTCTTTTTGTTTTGTAACCATGAGTATATATAGTATGATATTTTTCATGGGCATTATTTACAGGAAAACCAACCTCACGGTAGATACTGTTCGTCATGTTTTTGGAAAAAAGTCACATTGATATTGATGATAAGTACCCGAATTCAGTTGGTACCGTATGAATAATATAGTTGAGATAAAAGAGGGGGTTATGTTCAAAACATCATTTTCATTAGTTATCTAATTTTTTTATAGGCGCTATTTCAACCATGAAGTGCTAATGGAAGGTCAAAATACAGTGAATAACTCTAGAATATATTTAGAGAAACCCCATATTATAATATAAAATCATGTATTGTTCATTCAACTAAACATATTTTAAAATCACATTACTATAGCTAGGTAGTGATAGTAAATAGGTAAGGTGAAGGTGAACGAAAATCTTCAATGACTGCTTGGCTTTGTATAGTGAAAAAATATTCTATGCAGTGATTGTTATTCAAAAATGTTCACCTAACACCTCCATCTAATTCTTTTTCTAACGTCATTGTGCGGATGTATTTTTGTACCTTTATCCTCGGATTGATCTTTCAAACAATATGTTTCCGGAAATTCAAAAATAAACTTTTATCCAAGGAAATTATACTGGGTGATTTTTCAAAGTGGCTCAACCCTTTATCTTTTCATTATTTGAAGGCAGTAGCACGAAATTTGGGGGCTGTGAATAATACGACATATTTCGACATATCTATTTGATTGCCTGATTGGGTATACCCAATCAGGCAATATATATACATCCGGTTTGACCGGAAATGAGCCCAACTTTCGATTTTTAAATGGGACACCCTGTATATTGTTGCATAATCGGTTAGGGATTTGCATAACGAATTCAACGATACGGTTTCAAAGAGTTATTTCGAACGATCACGAACATATTTGCATTCAAAGTTTCCATATGCTCAATGAATAAATTCAATAATAAAAAAGTTATAGGGGTGGAAAATCACTCGGTATACCTACCTACATAGATTAACGACCCAGCCAACACATCTTTGACATGCCATCTCTGAGATGTGACGTTAAGGTAACAGTGCCATATCACAAACGTTCCATCGCAGCGATGTACATAAGCAAACACATCTGCGACGTGACATCTCTGAGATGTCGGGATGAAGAAACACTGCGATATTAAGAATTTTACATCTCTGTGATAAACAGAAGCCGACACATCTGCCACTGAGATGTCGCTATGAGGCAATACTGCGATATCACGACTGTACCATCGCAAACACATCTGCGACATGAGATGTCGTGATGAGATAATTCTGTGATATTACGAATGTTCCATCGCTGCAATGTACATAAGCAAACACATCTGGGACATATGATATCTCAGAGATGTTGCAATGATGCAACACTGCGATTTCACGAATGTTCCGTCGCTGCGATGTACAGAAGCAAATACATCGGCGACATGACATCTCTGAGATGTCGTGATGAGGCAACACCGCGATATTACAAATGTTCCATCGCTGCGATGTACAAAAACAAACATATCTGTGACATGACATGAGGCAACAATGCGATATCATGAATGTTGCATCGAAGCGTTGTACAGAACTCATATGCGAGAATTTTTGGAAAAATGGATATTTAGATTCAATACATGAATATACATTACTCAAGAAAGTGAAGCTAAATTCGCAAACATTCGTTAGATCGCTCTCAAACTATTCTCGGTTTGCTAATATCTCGCCGACACACACTACATAGTTTTTGATGCAAATACGAGTAACTGATCTTATTTTTATAAAGATTCTTAGGAACCAAGGATAGCACCGTTGAAAAGACGATTGAATGTATAAACCTATTATCTCGCAATGTTTGAGGAAACTTTTTTCTTCGTTTTACTTCGATTTCATCTCGCATCCCATGGTAGTCTTATCGCAAAAAGGCATCGTTTTTACATCACAAAAAACATATCGCAATTACATTGCAAAAAATATATCGCTGTTATATCCCAGCGACTTCGCATGGATGAAACTTGAGTGGGACAAACTAACATCGATCCCTCTGACATCGCAGCGTCTTCTTTGCGACATAGAATGCGATATCGCAGGTCACAATTGTTACATCGGTGTGATATCTCTGTGGTGTAACTGTGTTTGCTAGGGAGTGTCAAATTCGTTGTGATTTTTTTTCTCCAAGCGGCAAAGAAAGTGGATTTTCGCTGACACTTAAGAGGCAGGAAATTGGTAATTTCTCTTCTTAGGCAGGACAAGTTTATTGCTATCCAAAATTATGGAATTTTCAATAAAAAATGACACAAAATTGGTTTTATAACATTTGGAGAAAAAAATTATATGTCTCAGACGGCAGCAAATGTAGATTGACTTGACTGCCTTGGTTAATACTTTGCTGCCTAATAGCAAAACAAATAACTTTTGTCTTTTAGGGGCACTCAGCTGAGTAACCTGAGTATATTTTATATTGATGGTAATCCCTCATTTGAAACATGTATATTCATCATATTCTTTTTTGTAAGTGTAATAAAACAAACTCATATTCCAGAAAATGAAATATTTATACATTTCAGTACACTTATTAAAATATACGTAGGTATAATTTCTACATAGGTATTATCGCCACTTGGCAAGAAGAAATAATATTATTTCGTATACTGACCACTACAACATTTAAGAGTTTAGGACCCTCGAAAACCAGACACCAGGTCATCCACCCGGTTCGCTGAGAACAAAAAAAAACATTTTCGACAAAATTGTGTCTGGTCAGGACGAGGTGCAAGTTGTTTTTTTCAGCTTTTATCAT